ATCAGGAACACAGTCCACTCATCCAACAGGCAGCTCTGGAAGAGACCTGAATTATTCTGATGCAAACAACAAAAGGAAACTTTGCAGGGCTTCATTTTTCACTCACAATAGCCTGACCAAGGGCATCCCATTAAGGCAGCGGATAGCTTTGTAGCAGCGGCTCAGACAGCAGCAGCACAGCTCTAAACAGCAACTGAACCAATGGGTCACAGTTTAGTGGTTTTACATTTCTTCACCAGCGGAAGAACCACACTGTAAATGCAAAGAATTTCCTGACTAAAGACATTTTTTTTACTGATTAACGCTAAATTCATTAAACAAACCTATCAGCTGTAGGTAAAGATAATGATCAACTGATTTTTCCTTGTTGTTCAGACTTTCCCTTTGAGGATTAAAATTATGGCTGATGACATCCTGCTGCAGGTGCAAAAGAACCTAGAGTGCTTTAGTGCCGTTTATGCTGAGCTTGATCCAAAACAAAACAATTTTTACAGTTTATGCAGCTTCGGGGGATAGTGACGTCATTGGCCATAATTATAATCCTTAATATCTCCGAAATGAAAGCAGCACAAACCTACATTAACCATGCAGTCTGTTTGCCAAACTGTTATTCTTGGGTGGGGTGTCAGCTTCACGCAGCTTAGTTAATTCAGGTTTGTTTTTTTCATGTTTAAGTATAAACATGTAAAAAACATAGTAACTGCTATCTGTTTTAATGTATGGAATCATTGAAATAATATTATTATTTTCATCATTTAATCTTGCTTATGAAAGACATGAAACACACATGACTGTTAAAAATCATAGCTAACCTTAGCTGGTGTTTCTGGCAGTGAAGCTGAAAAAAGCTTCACTCGGTCACCAAGACTGTGTTGGCCACCAGGGTACAAGATAACCATATCCAGCCAGACCAGCTATCAGTCCCTCGCCTACCTCACTGCTGCTTGACAAGAAGCTTTCTCCGTAACTGGACGACAATCTAGAAGGTATTGTCACTCTTACTAATTTTTACTGTCATGGTCGGTTTAAGGAATCTGACCCACATGCAGAGAAACCACTCAGAGAACACAGGGAAAAGCTTAACAGTTTTATTTGATGTAAAGTGAACAGAGGTTGGATCTGGAACTCAGTGAACTGGTGAACCGGAACTGGAAAGTCTGAAGAGGAGATTACAGAGTTCAGTTCAGGGACCGTGGGAAATGGGACTGCGGCTAAAATTATGCAGGAGAGGGACTCACATTTGAGGGGATTCCTGTCAATCCTGGAATCCAGTCTGTTGGTATTATCCAGAGAAGATGGAAATCGATTGGAGAGCGGACAGATAGACATACGTTGGACCCGGAGGAGTAATGGAGCGGACTGTCAATTGGTTTTCTGATGGGGACTTGAACGGATCATGTGGAGGTTTTCCCCTGCTCAGTGTAAACTCAGTAATTCTTTCCAGGGGGAGAAGGTCCAGGTATCCAGTTACACAGGAAGGCTTCCCAAAACTGGCAAACACTTTGGCCTCAAGGTAGTGGCAGCCCACTGCTCAAATACTCCTCCAGTAACAAACCAACGAGCCGCAGGTGTGCAAGGAGGCCCAACGAGGACAGGGCACCACCTGGTGGTGGAGGGAGAAAAACACACAAACAACCCACACAAACTGGATTCCTAACATTTACTTCATGTTTATCATTTTCTTATCCATCATTGCAAAATCATTACAGAAAAAAATGTAAGAAAATGATGAATGTGACTAGTGCTTTGATATTGACTTATTGATTGTAGACATCTTCTCTGGCAGACTGTTTTGACACTTTTTAAAAGTGCTAGATCATTTAAATAGGAGTCTTCCTGGTCACAGTCACATTCCTAGTTGGAACTATAATAACTTCCTAAGTTACAATTGTCATGTTTTTGTCTCATATTTTGCCAGTATAACTCTGGGAATTGATGTCCCAGTGCTAGATGACAGCCCAACAGATTTGCTTTCACAAGAAGGCCATTATGGTTGTTAAGATTCTGCTTGGTACGTAGTATGAAACTTTATTGTAAATGATTTAGGGAGTAAAATTGTAACTTAGCCTTCTACCTGAATGTATTTGTGTTCTTTTACTCTGAATGCAGGATTTGGACACAGACGATGGCTTCACCCATGTTCCTGTTGGCGTTCTAACAGTCAGGACTGAGGACACACCACCAGAGATCAACAGCAATGCAATCATCCTTGAAGGAAACATCGTCATGGATGACATTCCCACAACCTGTCAAGCACTTTGTCTATGCACTCCACCTGGATTACCCAAAAGCTATGAAGA